CCTCCATTCTTCACCCGATAACTCGCGCGCGGAGGTGGAGGAAGCAGGAACACAATCGTGTGTTAGAAGAAGTGGTTTTCTGAGAGAGAGAGAGAGGGTGTCCGTTCACGCACCGGTGCGCGCACAAAGCCTCTCTGGGAGGAAGTTTTCTCGAGCTAAAATGGAAAAAAAAAAGGATTTGGGTGCTGTAAAATGTTTTAGAATCAAAGAAATGACTCAGGGTTGCAGAGATATTCAGAATTTCTCTAATTAGGTTTTTATTTTGCAGTCTCAATGCGAAATTAAAGTTATTATTGAAAAAGTTTGGATTTTGTCTAAAAGTAGTGAGGCATTTTTCTCTTTGAACTCTTAGAATAACTGTCATAGTTTAGCCTAAAAATACAGTGTTGGTCTTTTTACCAATTTTTTTAAAATAATTAAGACTAAATAAGAGAAAGATTTGCTTACAGTTGTCGTTTTCTTAGAAAGTTTTTCTCATAATTCACTCTAGATCTGTATAGGTCTTTTCCAGTTTTTAATCAAACCCAACTTCAGATCTAAAAGGAAAATAAATTAGAGTAATATGAGGCTAAAGGCTGTGTAGCATGTCTGTTCAAGCTCATTCTGCATGAGATTTTAACGGTTTGTATCGTTGAGGTGATTCATTTACATTTCTACCCGAATTAAATGTGCTGATGACCAATAAGGGCCCTGATGGGATGGATATGAACAGATGTTGGACATCAGGCCGTCCATATGCCTCCAGGAACACGAGTTTAAAACACATTTCTGGCCTTAAACACGAGGTGGTCATTTTTTAGGCCACATTTATTATTATATGTGCTACAACAACCTGTTTTACATGGAAAATAGCCCTTCATGTGTTGGTGTTAGACCAGGAAAAAGCCTTAAAGAGTCTTTTGAAATGTAGCCGAACCAAAGCTGGACTTCTTGGTCTTTTTCAGAATCGGCCGTGACGTTTCTAATCTGTAAACTGAGCACAGGAACAAGATTCGCTCTTAAACGTGGACATCAAGGCTGTTTTTTTTTGCATCTGTTGAGAGAAACTCGTGCACGTCCTCAGAGGATGATGCAACACATTAGCAAGTTGGAATATATATCTGCAGATGGCCTGTGTGGGGTCAAGTTTGACTGGATGTGGGGTTATGGGTTTGGTAGGGAGATTTAAAAGGCAAGCTTTTTTAAAAGGTTTGCATAAATCTTGGAAATGCATTTACACACCAGAGATCAACACATTTTGGACACTTCCTGTCCATTTAAAGAAAGAAATCCTCTGATAAACAAACAAAAATGGGGAAAACAATGCCTCCACAAAGCTTTTTCATATGGACGTGGGATTAAAAAGCAAATATATTTTTGTCCAAATGTGGTTTAGATATAAAAAGGTCATTAAAAGTGATCAGTAACTAACAACGATGTGCAGATTTTTTGGTCAAAACTGGAAACTAAAGTCTGTTTTATGCCAGCAGACTTCATTTTCCACCCTTTGAATGGAAAACAAAACTAAAAAAAAAAAACTCTTTTCCTGCACATTTACACACATGATATAAATCTGTTTAATGATATTTGTCATCAGAAATAATTCAACCTGCATAAATCCAACCTTATTCCACGTTAAACTCTTTTTTACTGTTTTTTTAGTCCACTATCATCCAACCGAGAACACATATCAGCCCTGATTATTCATGGCAGTTGTCTGAGCTTATAGGTTGTAATTAGAGTACATATTGCTTTTTAGGCAATGTAAATCACCACAAAGTGGCACAGAAACGGAGTTAAAAGCTTTGGAGAATGAATAAGTTTAGTTTGGGGTTTGATCGCATTCAAAAACGGGTGAAATCTGGCGTGGCAGATGGTTGAAAACGACTCCGGACAGGTGCTCTGACAGCCAAAGGTAGCCGCGTCCAATTGACTTTCAAATACTTTTTTTTGCCCGTCCTCACTCACTCCGGTATTATCCGGGTGTCAGAGCTCATCCATCTGCCAGGAAGTGTTTGATTTAGTCTGTCTGAGCCTCTGTTTGATCAAGGTGAACGCCATTTAGACCCAGGTCTGCCGTACATATTCACCAAAATCCAGTTTTAAGTCTCTAACACTTTTCAGCCCCTGGGAATCAAAGTTTTTTTTTTTTTTTTCTAAATTAACCCTTTAAACCTGATCCAAGAATATAAAAAAAAACAGAAAATTATTATTTTTTTGTTTGAATTCCTTATTTGACCTTTTAAATAAATACGTAAAAACAAAAAACAGAAATACTATTTTAATATTAATCATTTATTACTATGCGATAAGTCCAGATTATTGGTTATTGCTTCTCATCCGCTAGCAAAAAAAAGAAAAAAAACCATCCTTACAGGTCAATTTTTAACCCGACGTCTCAAACCCTGCTCTGGTTTTTGATGTTTCAGTCATTGTTTTAAAAAGAAGGTTAAAAAGTCATGCAAATTGATGTTTTTAGCGACATATTTCTATCTTTTTCCTCCCAATTGTAGCCCTGTCGTATCTCCTCTGCCTTTTCCTCCATTTTCTTCTTATTTCTCATCATCAGTTTTCTTTTTTCCAATCAAAAATCTGTTTATCTATTCATTTTTACAAGATATAAACCATGAATGGTTTAACCCTTTAAAGCCCGATCCAAGAATAAAACAAAACAGAAAATTACTTTTTTTTTGGTTTGAATTACTTATTTGGCCTTTTAACAAAATATGTCAAAAGAAAAAACAGAAATACATTTTTAGTATTAACAATTTATTACTATGCGATAAGTTGTTGTTATCAGGTGTATCTGATTGTGTACAATAGGATTTTGAGCAAAGTTTTTACCAGTAAATTATGCAAAAGGTGTCAGACGCAAAACATTTCAGAAACCCTACTTATCAAATATGATACATTTAGCATTACAGGGTTAAGCATTTGAGACTGATTTAGGCTTCTGATTGAGACTGATTTAGGAGTCGTGGGATCTGAAGACGTTTTAATTACATTTCGGGGAGATGGCCACGGAAAAACCGAAATCAAGTGTGTTGCATCATTAAAGGGGACGTGTTATGAAAGGGAGCACAGAGTTTATAATTAGCATCTGAAGTCAAAACCCCAGAAAAAAAAAAAAAACCTGACATTTTGTTTTGGGCCCCCTGCATGTGGAAACATGTCAGATGTTGTTGCATCACGCTACGGGGATGTATACCCCCCCCCAACCAACTGATTTTGGATACTGCATTTGCATTTGTTTTGCTCCTTTTTTTAATACGTGGACCGGGTTTAACCGTAGATTTTTAGTGATTACTTACAGAAAGAAACGAAGTATTTCTTAGTCCATTCATGGGCTCCCAGCAGGGGGCGCTAGCCCTAACCCCTGAAGATCATCCTAAAGGTTGCGTTATTGCCACAGTACTTCAAGTCAAATGCATCAACTCAAAGCAAAAACTTTGCTCCAATCACAACCTCTGGAGCTAACGTTAGCCACCAGGCTACAACAGACCAGAATACCGAGTTCCACACAAACGGATAGAAAATAGTAAAATAAATTAAACTAAATAATAAAGCGCAGATGCGTTTATTGATAAAGCCACATATGGAATTAATTTGAGTTTTAAAAAAAAGCTGATCAACAAATATTTCCCATAATTACTATAAATGATCACATTAGCTAAACAGTGAATGAGCTGATAATCATCTACTGGTAACTTTGTCTGAATTCCAATCAACAAATTCTTCTTATTTTTTTATTGGTCATTGAATGCATCATCAAAACAAGACAAAAACTAACTAAAGCGTCCCCATCCATTAGATGAATGCACAGCAGACTCCAGAGTTTATGCAGCTGAAATGTGAGGGAGGGATCAGGACTAAAAAATGCTGCATCATTTTATGGTTAACAGCAAAAAAACATCAAGTAGCAATTTAGGAGAAATGTTTTTGGCACAGGAAACTGAACCATTTTCAAAAAGCCACAAAGTTTATTTTTTTTCTTTCCAATATTTTCAGTCTCAGAATCACGAAGGCGTAACAGGGCTTAGGCCCGAACACATTTTCAGAAAATGGTTTCAGGTTCTGGCTTCTGGTTTTGGTCCGGAGCTGAAACTTGAAGCAGTTGGTTTTCCCTCAGTTTTCCCAAAAAATACTTTATCCCTGAGAACTGGAGCCGAAAAAGCACCGACTCTCAGAGCAAAGAGGCCATTCTGCCATTAGCCGGGGGGGCGGGTTAAAGGCACCGAGCTCTGATTTCCCATTCGTCCCTGAACTCACCGTCACCACATTCATACAACAGCAAAAACTGGTTTCTAACGTTATTCATATGAGAAAAAGAGACGACACAAGAAAGAATAAAACACTGTTTGTTGTGTTTGAATCTGCTTCTACACACATT